TGTCATCTGAGATGACTGTCGGCAATTCCTTCTGAGCTCCACATTTTGACTGAGGAAACATCGGACTGTCAGCCCTGACGAATGAGGTGCTGTGGCCTTTCCCAAAGGTTGCCCTGCCTAGAAACCTAACATCAGTCGAGCACTTCTCAAAGATATCAAAAAAGGGGACAAAAAGCCCATCAACTACTGTTACCCAGAAACCTGATAAAAGAAAAGCACCTGATGTCCATAAAAAAATCCAGTCTAATAAATGACCACACCCTCTGGCTATGAATTAGGAGGGCTTTTGGCCCTTACGGAAATTAATTTTCCTTTCGGTTTAAAAAATTAGGACTTTTCAAAGCTTTCACCTTAGTTCGGTTTCCACCCTTTCATCAGTCTGATGGGCTGAGACTAGGCCACACCAGGCTCCCTGCTTCAGCTGGGCCACTGGTAGCCCATAATACCATCATCAGGGCAACTGGGACTCTTGTCTCTCACCCCTTCTGCCAGACACAGACTTGAGCCTGGGAGGACATCTCGCCAAACATGAATTCCTGTATAAACCAGTCCCCATACTGCTTCTGGGGGGAAACCTCCCTTTCAAGTTAGAAGTGACCATCTCCTTTGCACCAAGCCAGTCAGCCTCCTCCTTTAACCCTGCACTTTCGACTCTGACTGTTCCCTAACAGCAAGACGATGCCCGCATTAGCCTGACACAGATAACCACAATCCTAAAGTTCTGAAACTCTCCTCCCGAAAGTATGAACTAAGGACTTACCTCTGGGCCTTGCCATCAACATGCCACCTCACCGTGACCTCCCACTGCTGTGTGATGTCACGGAAAGCACAGGCACGCAGCCACACGTCAGCCTGATAGACCCTTAATCATCCTGAGCAAGATCTCGGTGCCACCAACAACGCAGCCATCACCTTGCACTCTGTGGTTCCCATCTATACACCCTTCTGGACTGTTCTAGATTTAAAAGATGCCTTCCTCTGCTTGTGAATTGCTCCCATAAGCCCCTTCAACTGTGAAAACCTGAGACAAAAGGCCAACTCACTTAGACTCAATTGCCATAAGGAGTTAAGAACTCTTCCACTATTTTCAAGGAGGCCCTAGCCATCATGGTCCCCTGATAAAGAAAAAAATGAGGTTTCAAAAACCAAAAGATTTATAGACTGTCAAACTGCTGCAATACAGTCTCCTGCCTCTAAAGCCAGCTCAAGACCTCCGAGCTGCCACCGCTGCCACAATTGCCCTCTGTATATGTTGCCTCAGTCTTCTGCCATCCACAGCCTGCTGGTACACCTGCCTGGACCTAAAAAATGCCTTCTTCTGTCTTGGGTTGGCTCCTGTCAGCCAGCCCCTCTCTGCAAGGGATCTGGACTCAATCTCCCAGAGGTTCAAAACTTACTTACTCTCTTTGGAGAAGCCCTCACAGCTGACCTCACTAGTTTCCCAGAATGACACCCAAGCTGCCAGCTGAGGAGACACAAAAGCTCTGCTGCAATATCTGGCAAAAACTGGTTGTAAGAAAGAAACTCTGCAAATTTCTTGGAGCTGCTGGCTTCTATAGAATCTGGATCCTTGAGTTCACTGCTGTGTGATGTCATGGAAAGCACAGGCACCCAGCCACACGTCAGCAAAACAATGATGCTAACTCAAACTGTCAGCCCCTGGGAGTGCACAGTGGCCTGCCTGTGCAGATACTTGGATCTAGTTGCTAAGGGCTGTCCTCTCCCCACTGCTTTGCCTTCATGCTCTAACAGCCACTGTCCTTCTGATCAAGAAAGCTGACAAGCTCGCCTTAGGCCAAGACCTAACTGTCCAGGTGCCACATCCTGTGCTGGACCTCACCCAGTACCATGATTGCCTGACACTGACTGATGAACTAACTGTTCCAACCTCCTGACAGATGCTGAGTACACCCTGTTTACGGATGGGAGGAGCTCTGTTAGGAATGCAGTCCGACAAGTTAGGTATGCTGTGGTCACCTTGAACAAAGCTATTTTGGTCAAACCTGCACTCAAAACAATCTGGTCCAAAGGGCTAAACCTCCTCCAGGGATCTGATTGACTGAAACATCAGCTCCAGCCAGAAAAAACTTAATCCGGTACTCCTAGAAGATCTATCTTAATCAGAGCTAGACCTGACCCCATCATATATTCTACAAACTCAAACCACAGTGCTGGCACCTGTACCACCTGAACCAGCTCAGGCTTCAGCATCTGTGTCACCTGCCCTGACCTCCCATTCCCTACCCATACTGAGAAGAAGCTTATAGGGTCCTGCTTATCAAAACTGTCCCTAGATATGGCCTACCCTTGACATAGAGCATACAGGCCACAACAAATATAACCCAACAGAAACACCTTGTAACTTGCTTCACAAAAGTTTAGCTAAAAGACCAGGAATACCTGTGGGCACTCCTACACACACAAGTAACCCAGGTGCATATTAACTACCCCTACAAGTTTCAGAAATCGAGCCTTAGATCCACTGGAAAAAATTTACCTGAACCAGACAGCTCACTCTGAAGAGACAATGCACTCAAAGCCCTGCTCTGGTCACTCCAGATGCTCACCAGTCCACACACAGCTGAAGCCTGACAACACAGTTCACAGGATTGCTCCATACCTATTCCCCTTGATTTTTGTGTCTTTTCAGGCCGCTTACCCCAGTCCTTGTTTTTCCACCCCCTGCCAGCTGTGGTTTTTGCCTTATACTCTATAGACAGTTGCCCCAAGTGAATAGAACAATCAAACACTTGACCAAGATGTGATGAGTGTCTAAGGCACACTGGACACTCTCCTAGACCAGACTAACTCTCTCACTCCCTAGAGTACAGTTACAGAACAGACAGGCCTAAATTATGTCTCTTCTTTTGTTTTTTTGTTTTTCTTCCGGTACCAGGAATCAAACTCATGACCTTGCGCTTGCCAGGCAGGTGCTGTGCCACTGAGCTAAATCCCCAGCCCCCTTATGTCTCTTCTTAAAACACAACTTGAGGAAAAACTTTGTGGTAAGACAATCTTGGGGAGCTTGGCTAGGACTCATCCTAGGATCACTGACAACCCTAACGTTACTGCTTTTAGTTGGGCCTTGTCTCAGATAACATGTAATATGCCCAGCAAAGACTTGCTGGGGAAGCCAAAAGAGGAGGTAAATATAACAGAAAATGCCCCCTACAGCCAGTATAGTTTAGTTTCTTAGTTGCCCAGGTAACAGTTCCTGTTCCAGTTCCAGTTGCTTCTGGTCTCTTAGAAACGGCCGGTCACTGTGATGCTCATTATATAAACCGATCCCCAGCTGACAAGCCATTCTGCCTCTGCACTTCCTGCTTACTTCTCCCGTAAAAGCCCTAGACCACGAGAGATCAGGGCCGAATATTCTGGGAATGATCCCAATCAATGCCCACTGACGTAAACTAATCTGTATCCAAATCCTGGGTGTTGTTTTGGTGTTTCTGTTTGCCACTGCAGTAGGATGGAGGAAATCCAGGAAGCCCAGAGCAAGGGCTGCTTCCCAGGCAAGAGACCCAGGCTCAGCTGTAGAAGGAGCCTTAATTTCCATAGCAGTGACTTTCTCTCTTTTTAATTTTACACAATGAATGTGTATTGCTCACTCAAAATCAAATTATTTTTTCTAATACTGGGCAGAGAATCTAGGGTTTCACACAGGATAGGTGAGCGGTCTACCTCTGAACCACGTCTCCAGCTTTTTTCATTTTAATTTTTTGAGACAAGGTCTCATTAAGCTGTCCAGGCTGGCTTCAAACTCATGATCTTCCTGCCTCAATCTCCAAAGTATTTGAGAGATGACAGGCATCTGCCGTTATGCATGGATAGAAAAACAAAGTGGTTTGGGTTTTTTTTGTTTTGTTTTGTTTTTGGTTTTTTTTTTTTGAGACAAGGTCTCAAACTCACAGCGCTCCTCCTATGAGCACTGGGATTACAGGCATGCGCCATCACATCTGGCTCAAAAGCCAATTTTTAACAGAAAATCTTTTTGTAAGCTCCCCAAACCTGGAGCCAAGTCCTCAGATGGCCACTTCTGAGTCTCCCCGTTTCACAGAAGAGTTACCACAGCAGGCCACTGTGAATATGAAATGAGGTCATGGATGAAAGACCTTGGAAATTCTCCACACATATTTTATTTTCTTTGTAATCGAGATGACCCCAAACAGTAATACTGTGTGAGCACTGGGGTCATGGGCCCGCATCCCTACAGTGGTAACGTGTCCCCGTCCTGGCTGAAGAGTGAGCACGGACCATCGGGAGATGCCTACGCCATCCTTCTTCCATTATCACGTCACACCAAGCGGGCAGGGGGACAGGAAAGGTCTGCAGCCTGAGGAGTTCTAAAGCTCGGTCATGGAGTCACATTACCTGGGGGCCTGCACCCCTGGACTGTGACAGATGTGCCTATCCTTTTCCTTAGACTTCTTGCCTCTCACAAAGCCTTGAAATTAAAAGATCTCCAGAAACTAAAGCCTTTCAGTGCAAGCTTTTGGTTCCCAACCTAGTGATTCTTAGAAGTCTGCGAGTTCTCTGGCTGTTTGCTTTTGTTTGGGTCTCTTTTTTCCCCCTGTCTAATATTTCATTACTTATGGCCACTTACACTGGTTGCCTGACACTCTGAAGAGTGATGAATGGGAGACAGAGACCATCAACACACACTCACCTTCTCCACTCTCTCCCATGCCCCTGAGCACATGGCCAGATGGAGACCCGTCCATTAATACCCAAACTGGACAACAGACACCCAGGTTTCCCAGTCTCCTGTGATTCCTGCCCAGATTCAAGGGCAGTCACAGTTTTAAGAAACAGTGACATACATCATACACTTTCTCTTAAGAAGATAACCTGTCCAGGGCCTGTAGGTGGTTGGTGTTCCATGGGAGAAGCTGCCCTGATGGTCCCTGTCCTGTCTGATTCCAGCCTGGGGCCATCACCCACTTCCCCCTCTGCAGCTGGAGGAAGCTCAGCACCCGCTCCCGCACTAATATAACACCCACCTGCCCAAGTGCTCCTGAAGCACCTGGTAGACGCTGATCCGGAAGGTCTCATTATCAAAGCGTTCCCGGATGTAGTCCTTATAGATTCGGAATTCGGCTGCAGTCACAGCTTCTCCTTCCGGGATCTTGGATAAATCGAACCGGAACTCCCGATGGTGGTAGCGTGGGTGGAAGAACTCTTTGTCATGTTCCACTGAAAGGGAAGAAAGCACAGGCGAGTGCAAAAGCCCGTTAGTCTCAGGGTCTCTCTCCTGGCACTGAGTCCAAGCATCTTGCTCAATAGGGTAGAGAACTGCCTATCTCTGCCCTGATGATAAGCATCCATCTCACAGGAACACACTGCCTGGACGGTCCCAGCCTGGGACTCTCAGTCATCTTGAACAAGAGCCCGACTCTGCACTCAACCACCTAGGGCAGGGGAGGCACTGACCACGGCCCTCCAAGAGTCACAGGCCAGACTCAGGTTCCCGCAGCTCAGTCCTTGGTTCGAGTCCATCCTTAGCCCCTGACTAGAACTGTGGCCCGAATGGGGCAGAGGCAACCCATCTGAACTTTAGTTTCACCATCCAAAAAGTAGGGATATCACTGCTCCTTCATGGGGTATTGTAAGGATTGAGTGACATAACTCATATGAACAACTGATCACTTGTTAGGGCTGGATAACACTTAGCTACTGTTGATAAACATGGACATTGCTATGCCCATTCTGGGACACATTATTAGGCCAGTGGTTCTCGGCCCTGGCTGCACCTAAGAATTATTGTGGACACATTTAAAAAATGCAGAAGCTCTCGCCCATGGTAGATGTTCAATAACCAGTTTCCGGGGCTTGATCTTCAGTGTTTGCCAATTTCCATGGTGTGCATGCTGCCATGGGGTGGGGGCAGGGGAGGAGAGATTTCAAACTGCCAAAGAGAAGAGTGTGAACTCCATGGAGTTGGGAAGAGAGGTACACAGCAGGACCTGGCCCCATGTTGTTCTTAGCCCACCTAAGGCACTGAATGGTTTCTATACCAGAAGCTGCAGTCCACCATTCTTAGCCTATCTCATCAAAACCAGAGACATTACCCACCATGCATCTCTGTGGCCACTTTGACAGCCTGGCAAAGACAGTTTCTCTGCTCGTTCAATAGAACTTTCTTATTCACTGCAACATACGTGTAGTGCAGCTCAGCAAACTCATAAAGCAAGCCCACTTGTGGAAATGCCACCCAGCCAACAAACAGAGCACCACCAGCTCCCTCTAGCTCCCCAAACTCTTCAAACCCGCAGGCTAACTCGCTTGGCCACGTAGAGCCAGGAGGATCAATAGCTCTGGGCAGCGTCTGAAAGTCTGTACTTTGAATCTGTGACGCCCAGATATTTCTAGAAGCAGAGCAGAGCCAGTTTGGCCAGGAAAAAAGGAGAACTAGGAGCAGCTCACTTCCACTTGATGTGCACTGGAAGCCCTCGGGTTTCCACTGTTCCAAGGACAGCAGGACGGAATCGCCATCTCGGAAAGAGGCTCACACCACTGGCACTCCAAAGACCCTTCCTATAGATCCATTTAAAAAAATCAACTGTGGTCAGGCACACACCTGTAATCCCAGCATTCTGGGGGCAGGAGGGACGGCTAAGGCAAGAACATCATAAGTTTGAGCTCTGCCTGGGCAACTTAGTGAGACCCTGTCTCAAAATAAAAAGAGCTGAGGATATAGCTCAGTGGGACGACCCTGGGTCCAATCCCCAATACTGAAACAAAAAAGGTTGACTGTGACCCCACAGCAGGACAGAAATACAGGGGAGGAAGGAAGCTCACCTCACGGGCAGCCTGAAGACCCTTCCTACAGACTTCTATTTAAGAAGATCAATTGTGACTCTTAGTAATAGTTGGAAGAACTGGTGGGGTAAGGCAGGAGCATTGCTCCCCAGGAGGCAGAAGGGATGATGGAGTCCCTGAGGCTGGGGATCTGGCTGGGATCGGAACAGGTTGCCCTTGGATAGACTTGAGCAGGCGACCTGTGGACTACAACTTCTGGTATAGAAGCCATTAAGTGCCTCCTGAAGACAGCGCTCCCCTCGCCGCCCCCACCCCACAGCAGCACATCTCTCCTGGGACAGGGCAGCCTGCCTGGGAGAGAAGGACACAAAGCACCAACAGATCCTGATGCTTAGTGAACAAGAAGCTGGAAGGCGGGGTGCGGGTGGCAAGTGCTATAAAGGACAGGCTACTGGGAATCAAGAGCACTTGGGAGGTAACCCCAGGTTAAGGGGCAGGAAAAGATCCCGGGTCAATCCCTGCCATCTGCTGACTCATTCAGTCCAATGCCACCCTAGGAGGTAAGCACAATACTGCACTGGCAGAGCATGCACCTAGACACAAGAGGTGTGGAGTGGTCTGTTCAGGGTCAAGGAGCTGAATCGAACCACATTTCATCAAAACCAGAGACATTACCTGCATCTCTGTGGCCACTTTGACAGCCTGGCAAAGACAGTTTCTCTGCTCGTTCAATAGAACTTTCTAATACCAGGGCTGGGGATTTAGCTCAAGCAGCTCAGTGCCTGCCTGGCAAGTGCAATGATGTGAGTTCGATTCCCAGTACCGGAAAAAAAACAAAAAAACCCAGAACTGTCTAATTCCACCTCAACATGTGTGTAGTGCAGCTCAGCAAACTCATAAAGCAAACCCACCCATGGAAGTGCCACCCAGTCAACAAACAGAGCATTGCCAGCCCCTTCTAGTTCTTCAAACTCTTCAAACCCACAGGCTAACTCACTTGGCTTCTTTAACAGTGCTTTTGAAATCCATATTACTGTGAATAATCCTCAATCCACATTGCTAACATTACATAGCTTAATTATACACCAACTCACCTGTCCATGCTATAGTTCCCGGGCACTGGGGAACTGTCCAAATCAAGACCCTTAAAGCATTGCTACTCTGAAGACCCGGGACATGTCTGGGTGAGGACGGCATGCATACCACATGAAACTGGCATAGGCACTGGCAGCAGCCCACTGCACTTCTCCCAGAGGATGATGCCAGGAGATCTAGACAGTGTGAAGGAGGAGGGGTGGCAGAGAGCAGATCTGTCCTACAATTGTGATGGCACAGCCTATGACAACTCACAGCCTCTTCAGGGGCTTTGTCTAGGAGACAGGGAAGGGAAGCCCAAGAGGTGATGACAAGTCTTGGACAACACCCCTTTTCTCCAGCAAGCAGCCAGTGTGTGCACCTGTGACAATTAATCTTGACTGGTCAAATTCATGAATTAAGAAATACCTAGTAGATTAGTAAAGCACACTTCTGGGTATGTCTGGGTGGTTCCTGAAGGTATAAACTTGGCTACTATATATAGTCCCTAGCCCACTCCTCTCCAGCACCAGTCCCCTGCTCTGCTTTGTTCCACCACGCCCTTTTGCCATAAGGTTTTTGTCTTGGAGCCTGTTGACTATGTACTGAATCTCCTGAAACCGTGAGCTAAATTAAGTATTTCCTCCTTTAAATTATGGGTGTCTGCTACTGCATCTCAGCAATGGAAAACCTAATACAGAAAACTGGTACCAGAAGTGGTGTCACTGCTCCAACTATATCTGACCATGTAGTTTAGAAGCCTTTGTAAGTAGTTGATGAAGAGTTTGGAAAGGTATGGAAAAGCCAGCTAGAAAAGTCCCAGAATGCGATAAACAGAGCCTTATGGGTCAGAGCTCAGAAGATCAGGATGCTGATAGGAATATGGAGGGCGTAAAGGCAAGGCTCAGGAGGTGTCAGTTATAAGCAAGGATTCCATTGGCAGTTTGATTAGTGGCTTTATGTCTTACACTCTTGAAAAATATTTACCTGCATTTTGCCTATCTCCTGAGACTTTGCTGGAGACTGAAACTAAGGGAAGTAGACTAATTTGGTAGAGGAAATTTCAAAACAGCCCAACATTTAGGCTGTGGCATGGGTACTGCTGGCTGATTTTAGCCAGATTTACAGTGAGAATAGAGGGAAAAATGCAGAGTATAAAAAGTTGGAGAAAAACATGTTTTGGTTCGGAAGAAATCATGTATAGAGTTGGGGCCAAACAAAGTATGTCTGTTGAAGAGATTAGCACCATTTAAAAAACACCAAGTACTCTGTACAGGGGCAAGAAGAAAGATGCCTTTAGAACATCTCAGGAATCAGCAAGATCCCACCTATGGCAGTCGCAAGGGTGTAAAAGTATCAACAGTTCATTTAAGATGACAGTACCGAGTACCCCTGCTCAAAAAGAAGCTCCTAGAGAACTGGTTTCCAAGAATTCATTTTACTGTGCTCAATCATCCATGCACTCAGAAGTTGCTGCAGCCATAGTCCAAGGGAGCACAGTACCGCTTTTCTGACAGAAGACCTTGGCATCATCCACATGACGCTGGTTATACTAGCATGCAGAATGCAAGCGTTGTGAGGTCAGGGAGCTGTCCATACATACTTCAAAGGAAGGCCTGGAGGCCAGGTAAGAAGCCCCTGAAAAGGCAGTCCATGAAACCGTGAGAATGAAGCCAAAGGCATAGTGGGGACCCCAGCAAGACAGAGATGCCAGGAATGTGGATGTCAGCTGAGGGAAGCTGGAAGGACATGTGAGTGAAACGAGCAAAGCCACAAGTGTAGAGCCACCCATGCCTTTGAAACACATTTTACCATCTCCCCCAGGTACCGGACATGATACAGGGTTTAATGTTTACCCTGCTGGGTTTTGGTCTTGCTTTGATCTGATTATTTTCTATCCCTCATTCCTTCTTTTTAGAATGGAGATGTTTTACCCCTTGTCATTGTATCTTGGAATTTTGTAATCTGTTTTTGATTTTTACAAAGATTAACAGCTAAGAGTTTGCCTTGAGTCTCAGAAGAGACCTGGATTTGGACTTTTGAAAAATGCTAAAATTGCTGAAGCTTTGTTGTTCCCAGCTGTATGATAGCTGTATTATGTTAGGAGGAATTATGAACTTGCTATTATCCTTATTTGGAGATTAAGTATGGTTGAAGATGTGTTTGGATGAGAAGTTGACAAGAGGTGGACTGTTAACCCTAATGCACCAACTTCATTAGATTAAGAAACTGATACTAGGTTAATAAAGCACACTTTTGGGTCTGTCTGAATGGGTCATAAAGAAAATCCAACTTGAAAAAACCTGTACAGACCGAGAGCGAGTCACAGGTCATGTTCCACCATGGAACATGGGGGTCGC